CACCAACCCCTCCGCCTCCGCCCCGGCCACCTCCACCCCTGCCGCTGCCACGACCACCTCCGCCTCCGCTGCCACCTCCGCCCCTGTCACCACTCCCAACACCGCTGTCACCTCCACCACCGCCGCCACTAGCCTCTCCAGTCGCACCTCCACCGCCACCACCTCCACCCCCGCCTCCTCCGCCACCACCCCCACTCCTGCCCCTCTGCCCCTGCGTCGTCCGCCTGAAGCAGACGCAGCCCCGACCTTCTCAGCACCAAGGAGGTCGACAGCAGCAGCAGAGGCGACAGAGGGGAGGAGGGGGGAAGGGGAGCACCCCTCAAAGAAGGGGCCGCGGGGGTCGCCACGAGAGGTGCCTACAGCGACGATACTAGCCTCGGCTGCAAGCAGTTCCTTCTCGAGGAGGGCAATGGTGAGCTCAGTGGGGGAGCGAGAGAGGAACTGGTCCCTGACAGGGCGCAGAGAGTCAGGGAGGCGGGTGACAACGTGGTAGAGAGTGATCCGGGGGGGGGGGGGGGTTGCTAGCGAGGAACTCATCAGGCATGGCAGCGCGAAAGCGAGCCTCACTAGTCTTAAGGTGGGTGATGAGGTCTGCGACAGTGTGAAAAGAGGCTAGGTCGGGGAACAGGTAGGGGAGAGTGAGGCGGCCTAGTGTGGCAGAAGCGGGTGAGGAGTAGCGGGCCACTACAGCTGTGTAGAGGTCCTTAGCAGTCTTGCACTGGCCGAAGTGCTCGCGCTCATCTAGCGGCAGGGAGTTGCGAATAGCAAAGCGAGCGTGCGCGTCACGGGTCTGCCACTGTGAGCGCTCAGTTGGGGGGGCAGTAGCGAGTGGGGCGGTCGCATGCCGAGAGCGTGGTCGTACAGTGTAATATCTTCCTTGGCAGTGAGCTGTAGGAAAAGGTGCAGATCATCTAGCCAGGTTTCGAATTTGACCGGACGGCCCTCGGCGTCGAAAGCTAGAACAGGAGGACTAGCCATAGCGACAGCGGCAGTAGTAGAAGCAGTAAAGTCACTGAACAGGCGTGCGCTAGGTCAGCAGGGCCGGTGGGGCCTACAGACTGTAGTGGCGCACAAGCAGCAGTAGCAGGAAGTGTAGTAGTAGAATCTGTAGTGGTGCACAGGCGCAGCAGCGCGGCGGCAGCGAGAGCCGGCGCAGTCAGTAGGGGCGGGCTCAGCAGTGGTGATACGCGGGCCGGCAGCGGGCGCAGCAGGGCGGGCGTTTGGGCGACGGCGAGCTCAGCAGCGGCGGTGCGCGGGCGGCTGCGGGCTCAGCAGCGGCGGGCCGGAGGGGCCGGGAGCAGTGCGGGCAGCGTGCGGGCCGGCGGCGGTCAGCGCACGAGCCGCGCAGGCTCAGCGCGGGCTGCGCGGGCTGCTCGCGGGCTGCGTAAGCGGGTCGCGGGCGGCTCGCGGGGGTTCGCGGGCAGGTCGCGGGCTGCTCGCGGGCTGTGCGCGGGCTGCGCGGGCTGGTCGCGGGCTGCGCAGGCGGGTCGCGGGCTGTGCGCGGGCGGTTCGCGGGCTGTGAGCGCGGCGCGCTGTGCGGTTCGCGGGCGGCGTGACGGGGCCGATCGGGGCGCTAAGGGGCGACGCGACGGGGGCCGTGAGAGGCCGCTAAAAAAAAATTTCGACGGGGCCGCAGGGCCGCTAGATCTTGCTAGATCGACGGGGCCAGCGGGGCCGGAAACAAGCGAAGGTAAGCAGGTAGGTAAGTCGGTGGGCCCTAAGAACAGTCCTAGCGAAGGACCTGCTCTGAAACCATGTCAGAAATAACTGAGCAGGAATGAATGAACTAGAACAGAGTTTGGTACAAGTAGGAAACCCTAACTTTGTGTACCCCCTAAGGTGTAACCCACTACAGCCTAGACAATATAAACATGCAATGTTTGACCTGGGAGAGCGGCCTCGTTCTCCTCCAGTTCTGTACGTCGACAACAAGGCTGCCATTGCCTTGTGTGAGGAGCACAGACTGGAGCACAGAACGAAGCACATCGCTCTGCGTTACTTCCTGGCTCGAGAGTTGCAGCAGCGTGGTCAGCTTCGTCTTGCACACGTGGCCACTCGGGCCAACACTGCTGATATATTCACCAAGGCACTTCCGTCTGGTGATCATCAGCGCTTTTGTACTTTGTTAGGCCTTGTGCCTACGTTTCCACACTTGCTGTAGCCTTTGTGTGTACTGTGCTCTATATTTATACCTGCATGCTTGCTCTTGCTAGGTATTGATCACTATACTGCTCTTGTTGCATATATATCTCTGCATGTGGACTGGCCTTGTGGCCCTTTGCTTGTGCTCAGTTTGTGTGGTGACGTTGTGATCCACCCTGAGCTTGTTTTGCGTTTCTTGACTGGTCTTGTGACCCCTTGTTCTCCCCCACTTTGCCTATGGGGTGTGTCAAACTGTATATGTTATATACTTGTGTAGGCTGTAGTGGGGTAGCCCACAAAGGTACAACCCAATGTTAGGGTTAGGATATGTACCCAACTCTGTTTTCGATGCCATCATTCCTGCCTAGTATTTTAACAGTACTGCATGCTTCCCTTTGCTGCGGTGAGGAGTGCACAGTAATGGACTATCATTACTATTCGTAACACCACCAACAATGAAATAGATACTACACTAACTAAGCTAATATGCAGTTATACATAGAAATACAATTTCTGACATCCCCCCTTAACTGCATACAAGCATAGCTAGTGAGGGGCGCACTACCCTAAGTGCAGTCAACACCGTGACGCAACTTGAACCACCGTGGGCAAAGTTTCCACGGCAGGTGCCGGTATGCGCGACTCTGGGTGACAACGCCCCCAAAACGACGGAGTAAGGGACAAACGACGAGACGCAAGAAAACATTACGAAAGGAGAAAACAGATAGAAGAAGCCCTTTTCTCTCTCTCTCTCTCTTCCGTCCCCCCTTAACCTCTCTCATCCCACTGAAACAAGAAATAGAAAGAAAAACCACCACACTCAGTCTCTCACTCATATTCCAGCCACTTCACCTCTCACATCCCCCCTTAACCTGTCTCCTTCCTCCCCCTCCCTACAGCAACATGTGTTGCAGGGAAGGAGGAAGAGGGAAGGGGGGGGGGGGGGGGGGAGGGGGGGGGAAGGGCTGCTGGTGGTGCACACCCGCCAACCCCACATCTCCCCCTTCCCCCTCCCCACTTGTGAAACCGCGGAAGGGAGGGCGGGGGGGGGGTGTGGGGGCGGGCATTAGCTGCTGCCGGCGCTGGCGCTGGCGTTGGCGCAGGCGTAGGCGCCGGTGATGGCACTGGCGCTGGCGCTGGGCGCAGGCGTTGGCGCTGGCGCCCCTCGCTGGCGCTTGCGTTCCGCGCTGGCGCTGGCGGTAGTTCGCTGGCGATTTCGTTCCGCGCTAGCGCTGGCGCGGACAATAGGCAGGGCGACGGGCGCGACGAGCAGGTGAGCGACGTACGGGCAGGGGCGCGACGGACAGACGGGCAGAGCACGAGCGCGACGGACGGGCAGCGGCGCGACGGACGGGCAGGGCGCGACGGACGGGCAGGGCGACAAGCGCGGACGGGCGCAGGGCGCGACGTGACGAAGAGAAAAAGGCGCATTTCACGCTGGAGCATAGACGGGCCCATGGTTCTTAAGAGAATTTTGGTCCTAAGACCGTAATAGCTCTGATAGCATGTTAGGATAGGGAGAGTGTGTGGCTAGGGTTTGGGAAGAGAGATTGGCCAAGCAAGAAGGGGTTTGACTATGGAGAGAAATATAAAGAAATAGGGCAAGGGAAGGTGGCCAAGGAGGGTATTGTTAATTGTAATGTGTTATATGTTGGTAGGCTGTAGTGGGGTAGCCAATATGGGGTACAACCCCAACTAGGGTTTGCTACTTGTACCCAACTGTTTCATTCAATGCACCATTCTTGCCTAGTCTTGTTGACATGGTATTCAGAGCAGGAGGTCCCTAGGACCTACCGACCGTTTTTTTAGGGCCCACCACCGCTCGCATGCGGTTACCACGCTACCCCGTGCCCTAGCCTCGTAGCGCCCTCGTGCGCCCTCTCGTTAGCGCCCTCGCGCGCCCTCGTTAGCGCCCTCGCGCGCCTCTCGTTAGCGCCCTCGTTAGCGCCCTCGTTAGCGCCCCTCGTTAGCGCCCTCGCCCGCCGAGCTGCTCGTCGCGCCACCCGTAGCGCTGCCCGTCGCGCCGCGCGTCGCCAGCCGCGCTGCCCATCGCGCGCCCCCACCGCGCAGCCGCCGGCCGTGCCACCCGCCGCGCTGCCCGCCAGTAGTGCCGCCCATCCGCCGCGCTACCCGCTCGCGCTGCCCGCCCGCCCGCCGCGCTGCCCGCTTGCAGCGCTGCCTGCTCGCAGCGTCGCCCGCTCGCAGCGTCGCCCGTCCGCCGCGCTGCCCGCTTGCAGCGCCGCCTGCCCGCCGCGCTGCCCGCTTCCCCACCCGTCCGCCGCGCTGCCCGCTCGCAGCGTCGCCCGCCCGTCGCGCTGCCCGTTTGCAGCGCCGCCTGCCCGCCGCGCTACCTGCCACGCTGCCCGTTTTGCAGCGCCGCCCGCCCGCCGCGCTCCCTACCGAGCTACCCGCTTGCAGCGCCGCCTGCCCGTAGCGCCAGCCTCGCCCGCTGCTCTCTATCCGTGCACAGTCGCCTTCCCCTGCTGCGGCTGCTTGCTTTGCTCTGACGTGCTGTCGCGATGGCTTCCATCCGCGTGCTGTCCTTCGATGCTGAGGGCCGCCCTGTGCAGTTCACCACTTGGCTAGATGACCTGCAGCTGTTCCTCCTGAGCGATAGCAAGGAGCACGTGTCACTCTATGATTACGCATCTGGTGCTGCGCCTGCCCCTCCTGCCACAGCCGAGCTTAGTGCCCGTTCCCACTGGCAGACGCGTGACGCTGCTGCTCGCCTAGCCATTCGCAGTCACCTGCCGTTAGCTGAGCTCGAGCATTTTGGCGACTGCAAAACCGCTAAGGCCCTGTACGACGCTGTCGTTGCTCGCTACTCCTCGCCTGCCACAGCCGAGCTTAGCCGCCTCATGCTGCCTTACCTGTTCCCTGAGCTGTCCACCTTTGCTACAGTCGCCGATCTTATCACCCACCTTCGCACTAGTGACGCTCGCCTGCGTGCCGCCCTTCCCACCGAGTTCTGCGCTAAGAACCCCCTCCACTGTACTGGACACTCCACTTCATAGTCACCCGTCTCCCTGACACCCTCAGCTCAGTGCGCGACTATTTCCTTGCTCGCTGTCCCACTGAGCTCACTGTCGCCCTCCTAGAGGAGAAGCTGCTAGCAGCCGAGAAGAGCATTGTAGCTGTAGGTGCTGCTCGTGGTGCTCCTCGCACCCCCATCTTTGAGGGGTGCTCTCCCTCTCCCCTCGCTCCCTCCTACGCTACTGCTGCTGCTGCTGTTGACTTCCTTGGTGCTGAGTCTGCTGGCGCTGCTTCTGCTCCTGGTGGGAGGCGCCGCACCGGCAAGGGCAAGGGGGGCAAGGGTGGCGGGTGGTGGGGGTGGCACTGGGGGGGAGGGGGTGGGGGAGGTGGGGGGGGAGGCGGTGCTGGAGGGAGCGGTGGCGGGAGTGCTGGTGGGAGTGGCCGGCGGGCGGAGGCGGGGGCGGCGGAGGGAGCAGTGGCGGTGGTGGTGGCATCGGCGGCAGTGGCGGCGGCGGTGGCGGGTAGCGGCGTTTGGCGGCGGCGGTGGCGGCGGTGGCGGTCGGAGCGGAGGTAGTGGCGGCGGTGGAGGTCGGAGTGGAGGCACCGGCTCGGGCCAGAGCTCCCAGCAGCAGCAGCGTCCCCAGACGACCCAGCAGCTTCGTGAGTGGCTTGCTCAGCGTGGGACGTCGGGGGCAGTGGCGCCTGTTCCTATGTCATTCGCACAGGTGATCGCAAGGGGCAGAAGTGTGGGAAGTTCCACACTCAGTACCGCTGCTTCTTCCGCCTTGACGACGCTTGGCGTGAGGAGATGGGCGAGGATGTTGAGCGCCCCCGCTGGGCTGATCTGATGAGGGCTGGTGTTGATATCTTTGCTCTTGACTATGATGCTATTATTGCTGCCATGTATGCATTGACTGTTAGTGCCGAGGGAGACTGTTACTTGTGTGTGCCGCCTGACTCAGGTATAGAGCCTACTGCCCTGGGTACTAGTGAGTCTGCTCTCTCTGGTACTGTGCCCTCTGTCGCTGCTTCCTCCGTTGCGGTCCTGTCAGTGATAACGGACTGGAATGGTGAACTAGAAAGGATTGTGAGTACAAATATGAAACCCTAATGTTGTGACCCCCCTATAGGCTAACCCACTACAGCCTACACAAACACAACACATATAATGTTTAACACACCCCCATAGGCAAAGTGGGGGAGACCTAGGGGTCACAAGACCAGTCAAGGCAAAGCAAGGCAACAACAAGCTCAGGGTGGATCTCAAGGATACCACACAAATTCCGAGCACAAGCTAGTGGTCACAAGACCAGTTTTCACATGCAGGTTATAGCAGAGCATGAGATACAGTGATCACAACCTAGCAAGAGTAAACATGCAGGTAGATATATATATAGTGATCACAGTACAAGCAAGGTCAAGAGGTAAGTAAGTGAGGTCCAGTAGGCACAAGGCCTAGCAGAGTGCAGAAGCGCTGATGGTCACAAGGCGGAAGCGCCTTGGTGAACACATCAGCAAGGTTGGCCTCAGTGGCCACGTAACGCAGACAAAGCTGACCGCGCTGCTGCAGCTCTCGAGCAAGGAAGTACCGCAGGGCGATGTGCTTCGTTCTGTGCTCCAGTCTGTGCTCCTCACACAAGGCAATGGCAGGCCTGGTTGTTGACGTACAGCACTGGAGGAGAACGAGGCCGCTCACCCAAGTCGGTCAGCAGGTAGGTCAGCCAGCATAGCTCCTGGGCAGCCATGGCTGTGGCGTAGATCTCAGCCTCACAACTGGAGCTGAGAATAGAAGAAGAGCGTGTAGAACGCCAAGAAACTGAGCCGGAGCCAAGGCTGAAGGTGTAACCCTGAGACGACCGCTGAGTAGCCTGGTCGTCCGCCCAAGAAGCGTCTGAGTGTCCAGTAAGTACAACTCGGTCTCGCCCTCCAAGCACTAGTCCCATGCCCGACGTACTGCACAAGTAGCGCAACACCCTCTTAGCGGCATCCATGTGCTCCTTCCTGTGACGGCCAGGAGCGACATAGCGTGCAAGGATGCTAAGAGGGTATGCCAGGTCAGGTCGAGTGCAGGTCATCAGGTACATGAGGCAGCCCACAAGCTCTGGATACGGGCCACTCGGCTCTACGGACTCATCCGAAGGCAGAGCTGAGAGCGAGTGACCGGTAGGCAGAGGAGTGGACTGAGGCGAGGAGTACGTGAAGCGGAAGCGCTGAAGGATCTGCTGCACCATGTGTGACTGAGTCAAGGTGATGGTGCGCCGTGCTCTGTCCCGGGTGATCCGCAAGCCAAGATAGCTTGTCAGTTCACCCAGGTCTGTACACGTGTGTCTCCTCTGCAGCTCCGACTTCACGTGGGCAAGTGCCGCGGTGTCAGCAGTGGCAAAGACCAAGTCGTCGACGTACACGAGGATGTAGAACGGCAGCAGTGAGGTGTCTGTGCGTAGAAACAGTGACGGGTCAGCAGTAGAGGGAGCGAACCCAAGAGCCGCAAGTGTCGTCCTCAGTGTGTCGTGCCACTCACGGGGTGCCTGGCGGAGACCGTAGACCGGCTGCTGAAGCCTCCACTGGGTACCAGGAGGAACCGACCCAGTGAAGCCAGGAGGGCGGCGCAGCCAGATCTCCTCGTGCAGGCTGCCCTGCAAGAAAGCAGTGCTGAAGTCAAGTGAGTGAAGCTCGTAGTCGCGCTGAGCGGCTATGTGCAAGCAGCACCCGAAGAGTGGTCATCTTCGGGGTGGGGAGAAGGTCTGAAAGAAGTCAACTCCCTCTCGCTGACTGAAGCCTCGAGCCACGTAGCGCGCCTTGAAGACCGAGGGAGAACCGGTGGCCGCTTCATCCTGAAAATCCACATGCCACTGACGATGTTCGCCCCAGGTGGGGGAACCTCGTCGACGTAGGTGCGTGTGGACTTCCAGGAAGCCATCTCTGCGTCCATGGCTGTCTGCCACTGAGAGGAGTAGGGACCCGCCATCGCCTCAGCGTAAGTGCGCGGGGTCGGGATGTCTGGTGCATCCGGGTCTCCCTCAGGGGCAACTAGCATGGACACGAGGTGGGGTAAAGCAGCAGCAAAGCACTGGAACTCCTCCTGTCTGTCCTCAAGGACGTCCGTGCCAAGAGCACACTCACCCCCGACGGACGGAGGACAGACAGACTCAGACTCAAACTCAGCAACAAGGCTAGTGGCGTAGTCTAGACGACAGCGGGCAGCAAAGTCTATCAACTCAGCGACTAGAGCAGACGCAGCAGAGGACTCAAAGGCAGGGTCAGTGACAACAGTAGCGAGGAGACGGGTGACAGTGGGATTGGTTGCACGACGGGAGTCAGACTCCGGGTCAGGAAGAGTAGGCAGAGAGGAAGCAGAGGAGACGGTAGCGGGACACTGACGAGAGCAGTGGAGGGACGCAGAGTCATGTAGTGAGTGCCAGGGACAGGAGGAGGACGCTCACGTGGGACACGACGACCAGTGCGAGCAGTACGGACAGGCGACGCAGGACGAGACTCAGGCTCACGACGCTCTGTAAGACCTCCCGTGGGACCAGTGTAAGGAGAGGGAGCAGGGAGAGGCGAGGCAGGCGGTAACTGTGACGGCGACTGGACAGGCGGAGGACACTCTACTGAGGGAGGAGGACAGGGAGGAGGAGCCTGACCAAGAACCTGCTGAAGAAGTGGTACGAAGTACGGTCGCGGCCGCGTAGCGTCTCCAGAACCAGCAGAGACACCAGCGGCAGGGTCCTCAGCACCAGCAGCAGCTCCAACGTCCGGGTCCTCAACACCAGCAGCAGCTCCACCGACCGGGTCCTCAGCACCAGCAGCAGCACCACCGCTCGGGTCCTCAGCTCCAGCAGTAGCTCCAACGTCCGAGTCCTCAGCACCAGCAGCAGCGCCACCGCTCGGGTCCGCAGAGTACCAGCAGCAGCTCCAACGCCCGGGTCCTCAGCACCAGCAGCAGCGCCACCGTCCGGGTCCTCAGCACCAGCAGCAGCTCCAACGCCCGGGTCCTTAGCACCAGCAGCAGCGCCACCCCCAAGGTCCGCAGCACCCGGAGGACCACTCCGAAGACTGCAGCGGCGTGTGTACCACTCTCGGATCTGCTGAATGGGGGGGAGCTCCTGGGAAGGAGAGGTTACCGGGACGAGCTCCAGCAGCACCTCTCCGGAGGCGGCAGTACTCGAGGTACCTCTCCTGCAGCTGCTGGGAGGAGAGGGCTCCTCCAGGTGTCGCACGCTCAGGCTCAGCACCCCCAGACTCCGCACCCCCAGACTCCGCACCCCCAGGCTCAGCACCTCCAGGCTCCGCACCGCCAGGCTCCGCACCTCCAGGCTCAACACCCCCAGGCTCAGCACCCCCAGACTCCGCACCCCCAGGCTCAGCACCCCCAGACGCAGGACGAGAGTCAACAGCTACCTCGACAGGCTCACCCGGGTCTACCTGGGACACACCTGAGGGAGCGGCACCCTGAGGGGGGAGGGGGTCTGGTACCTCAGCACCTGGAGCGAGGAAGAGAGGCGGGGGGGGGAGCGGGGGCAGTGCGGTAGGGGAAGGGGAAGAGGCGGTAGAAGGGGACGGACTCGTCAAAAGTGACGTCCTGAGAGGCCAGGACACGACGCGAGGTGGAGGGGGGGTGGTAGAACTGCCAACCAGGGGCGTCCGGGACAAAGCCAAGGAAGCCGCAGGGAACAGCGCGACGGGAGGAGCTGTCCGCGGACGTGTCGCGGACAAAAGCTCGGGATCCCCAGACCCGAAAACGCGACGCATCGCCAGCCTCTCCCGTCCAACGCAGTGTCGGAGAAGTCTCGGGCAAGGAGACACGGGGCCAGAGGTTGAGCTGATGTGCAGCGTATCGGACCGCAAACGGCCACAGAAAATGGGGGGGCAGCCGCATGACTCAAGGAGGTACGAGCGACCTCCATGACTAGACCAATGCGGCGCTCAGCAACCCCATTCTACTGTGGAGAGGCCGGAAGCGTGAACGACTGCTCAATGCCCTCCTCCCCCCCTGCTGACAGAAGGCCTCCAGGAGGCCAGAGGAAAACTCCCCACCTCTGTCAGAGTGCAGACGCAGGACAGGAAAGTCGGAGCGGAAACGCCTGGTGAGCTGGAGACGAGATCTGCGGATCCAAGGGATCAAGACATCAGGTACGTCACCCTTGGCTCGCAAGGGGAAGACCGTGGTGTAGCGCGAGAAGTCGTCAACAACGAGCAGGAAGTACCGCTCCTGACCCTGTCCACGGACGCGGGCTGGGCCCCACACGTCCAAGTGGAGCGTCTGCAAGGGAGCAGTCGTCGGGGGAAAGGAGGAGGAGTGAGGAGCGGCGCGCTGCCGCCCCTCGACACAGGGAATACAGGGAGGAGCAGGCGAGTCTGGAAGGGGAGGGAGCACCCTGGGAAGACCAGCAACAAGGTCCCGTTGCATCGACGGGTGACCAAGGCGGTGGTGCCAAAGGACAGTCTCATGCGCCAGAGAGCGACACGAGCAGGGGGCGGACAGCTGACCTGACGCAGACGCAGACGTAGACGCAGACGCAGCTACCTGAAGGGACTCAGTGGTCAGTGTGTACAGGTCCGACCCCGGCTCTC